GATAGATAGATAGATAGATAGATAGATAGATAGATAGATAGATAGATGGGATTGTTTTGCAGATGGATGGAGAGATTAAACTTTGTGAGCCTGAACAGCATAGTTGCAGTTAAAAAGACAATAGCATAGCAAATCATACATTATACGTTTCAGTGGAGTTATTGAAATGGATGTAATTCTTGTTTGCATTTTTGGTCTGTGGCTGAACTGAGAGCTGGTTTCCTGTAGTGGTTAAGGCATCAGACTAGAAACTAGGAGGCCATGACTTCTGCTAGTCCAGCCTTAGACACATAGCCAACTGGATGACCTTAGGCCAGTCACTTTCTCTCAGCCCTAGGAAGGAGGCAATGGCCAACCACTTCTGAAAAACCTTGCCAAGAAAACTGTGGGAACTTGTTCAGGCAGTCTCAGAGAATTGGACACAAATGCACAGAAGAGAAAAAAATGACCTTAATAAAGATGTATTGATATTATAATTGTCACTTTATCTTAAAAGACAGACTAATGTATCGATCATAACTTTTGTGACAGGCAACAGACTTCATCTAATTTATGCAATGACATATTGGAAGCCCTTCTTCCTTTGATATGGAGTGCGGCATTTAAAAATAATCAAATCATCCTAAGGATGTTGTCAGCAGTATGTTATAATATTTTCTCCGTAGGTCCTGTTTTATTTTAGAGATTGTAATGTTTAGAAGTGCAGCCATTTGGTGGGGTAATGGATCACATTTAAACATTGACTCCCATGCTGAGTGCTGTACAGACAAGGATTAAAAACAGATGAAACTGCTAGTTGGTATGAAGGCATTTATAGTAATACAAAAATATATAAACCTAGGATGAACATTTTCGGTTGCTTTCCTGGATGGCCAGCTAGGATGCTAGAAAATTGTCACAATCCAACATAATTCCCCCTCTCAAATTGTATCTCTATCCTGTCTTGTGACATTTTTTTTTTTAAAAAACCAAGATGCTAGGCAGCTTGGCTATTTTGTGGGTTGCAATGAGATGGTCCATTTTGTGAACTCATTTCCATAGAGATAGTTAGAGAGACATGCTGCCGTTGGTCCAAGCAGGCTTGCTTGCTTAGTTAACCTTTCCAGAAGTTGCCTTGGTGGCAACCAGGAAGGTCCCTCTTCCTCTGAGAGGTCAAGCCTCCTCATCTTTTGCTTTTGTATTGCCGGAAATTGCCAAGAAAGGATGTTGAACTTGTGCAATGGGGATAGGTTGCTTTAAGGGAGAGGTCTCCAAATTTGGCAACTTTAAGGCTTGTGGACTTCAAGTCCCAGAATTCTAGGCTAGCTGGATAATTCTGGGAGTTGAAGTCCACAGATCTTAAAGTTGCCAAGTTTAGGGACCCCTGCTCTTTAAATTGGTGTCCTCAACACCAATAAGACCAAGGAGCTTATAGTGGATTATAGAAGGAACAGATCAGATATCCAGCCCTTGCTTATCAATGGAGACCAAGTGGAGCGAGTGGCCAGTTTTAAGTTTCTGGGTGTTACCCTAAAAGAGGACCTGACCTGGGGGGCTCACATTGCAGCCCTGGTCAAAAGGGCCCAGCAGTGATTCTACTACCTGAGACTTCTCAGGAAACAACAACAGAATGAAAAACTGCTGGTGACCTTCTACCGCTGCACCATAGAGAGTATCTTAACTTCCTGCATCTCTGGATGGTTTGCCAATTGCATCATGGCAGATAGAACAGCACTCCAGAGGGTGAACCTCATTGCCCAGAAGATCATTGGTTGCCTGCTCCCCTCTTTGGAAGAGCTTTGTAGCTCCTGCTGCCTTAAGAAAGTTCAAAACATTCTCAAAGATCCATCTCATCCTGGGAATCCTTTTTTTGAATTATTACCATCTGGCAGACAGTACAGGACAATAAAAGCAAGGACAAATAGGCTGAAAAACAGCTTCTATCCCAGGGTAGTAGCTCTTTTGAATTCTGATGTATAGTGAAGTGTTGGTGCGGTGTTGGGGGTTTTCGGTTCAATGTGTGGAGTGTGAAGGATGTTTGTTTGTGGTTGTTTTCATGGTCATGATGTACATTTAAGATGGTGTTTGATTTTGTTGTAGGAGTTGCAATGACAATAAACTAAACTAAACTAAACTAAGTCCTCCCTTGAAAGAGCACCATGTAAGAGTTGAAGCATACAGGTTGAAGCTGTCTAAGTTTTCCAGGAGCGAAATGCTCAAAATTCTACTGCCCCCTTTGACCAATGTAGTCTTACATGTTTCCCTTTGTAGGAAGAACTGGATATTCGTCCAAAGGTGTCTTCTTTATTGGGCAAATTGGTCAGCTACACAAATCTCACTCAGGGAGCCAAGGAGCACGAAGAAGCAGAAAATGCTGAAGGCTCGAGAAGTAAAGTTTCAAAAGTATGTAGCTTTCTTCGGTTTTTGGGTTCCAGGTTTTTTTCATGAGGATTCAACTTTGCAAGGCTCAGTCAATCAGCGGCCCCAATCCTTGGTCCATGGACCGGTACTGGGCCACAGCATGCCAGAAACCGGGCTGTGCAAATAAGTGAAATCCCATCCATGGGATGCAGGCAGCATGCAAAACCACGCCCCCCCCCCCGGTCCATGGAAAATCCTCTTCCTGTAGAACCGTTCCCTGTTGCCCAAAAGGTTGGGGACCGCTGATTTAGAAGGACAAAAGGCCTCTGATGAAGCCCATGAATTGTAACCCACCCCTTGGCTAAATCTCCACGCACTTACAGGTGTCTGTTAGAGGAAAAGGACAAGCTTTGGATTTAGATGATTAATTTTTGTCACGGGAGATGACTGCCTGGCCAAGAGAGAGGGTGGAATGGTGCTTGGACCGCAGAGTCCATCATGCTACTTTGTTGAGTTGATTTCTTCTCTTTTTCAGTCTCCCAGCATGGGGACCCTGATGGGTGTCTACCTGCCATGCATGCAAAATATCTTTGGGGTCATCCTCTTCCTTCGGTTGACGTGGATAGTGGGAACAGCAGGTGTCTTCCAGTCGTTCCTTATTGTCTTAATCTGCTGCTGTTGTGTGAGTATATGACCTAGGGCAGGGGGTGGCAAGCTTAAACACTCAAAGAGCCACAAAGGTCCTAATTGGAAGCCCACCAGATGACCCAGGACATGGCACAAAGGCAACACAGTCAGATAATCAATAAGTGTCCCTTTATTATCTCCAACTTTGCCCCCAATGTCCAAGTTATCTTCTGGCTGGAGAAAAACTCTCCCAAGAACAGCCTTTGACTGCAGAAAATTAAGTCCAAACATGGTCAACACAAACTGTAACTTAAAGTCCAAACAAGCCAAACTGAACTAATTAGTTTGGCAGGGCAGGAGCAAGAATTTCAGACTTGAAGGCATGGCAAAACTCACACAGCTGGGAAGATGCCAGGAACACAGAGAAGCCACGGCAACACAAGATAAAGTCACATTTGCTCCCAACAGCCTGCCGCACACAGCCTGCCTTTCTTATAAACTGTCTTCCCAGGGAATCAGGGCCCTCTCCTCCCCCGTAAGCCAAGCAACCCATGTTGTTCTCTTCTCCGTTTCTCCCTGTGTGCCCTAGGATGAAGAGGGGATGGGCTTGGTTCTTCCTCTGAACTCCCTCCCTTGTTCTATCTCTTCCCTGCTCTACCCAGCCAGACTTTGCCCTTCCCCAGTTTCCTCCACAGGGCCCTTTCCTCCACCCATTTGATGTAAGTGAAGGAAACATTAAAGGAGAATATTTGTAGCTCAGGCTTGAAGTATGGGGTCTTTGGTGGTATCTGAGCTTGGTTGTTTCGTTGGAGATGTTTCATTACCCAAACTAAGTAACCTCATCTTAACCCCTAAAATAGCTAGAATTCCTGCAGTGCTGAAAATACATGTGTTTCATGTGTTTTTATCCATACAGAGTTTGGTCTTGTTCTGAAGTTCAGTTTTCAGGGATTTATCCTTCTATTGGATGGACAGTACAGAATCCCAAACCACTTACAGAATAACATTCTTTTGGGCTGGAAAGACAAACAAAAGATTTGGTTACATCCCATTGCAAACATCTGGTTTATTTAACTTTGATTATTCTTGTGTTCGTATATGTTTAAACTCTGTTATTGTCGTTCACAGACCATGCTGACGGCTATATCAATGAGCGCAATTGCAACCAATGGTGTAGTTCCAGGTACACTGTGATTCATTTGGCATGATTGTAATTTTGAAGTTCAGTAGGAAAAAGTTACTTGAATGAATGAATGATTGATTGATTGATTGATTGACTTGCTATCAAGTTGATGTCAACTACCTAGATAGATTTCCCCCAGAATAGAGCCCATGTGGTTAGAATGCAGTATTGCAGGCTAACTCTGCCCGCCGCCAGGAGTTTGACCCTCATCAGCTCAGAGTTGATTCAGCCTTCCATCTTTCTGAGGTTGGTAAGATTGTTGGGGGCAACAATCTGTTGTAGTAGCCCGTCAACATCCTGACATTCAGTTTTCCAGAAAAAAAATATGCTTCTCTTAGCTGTGAAGGTCCTTTTTATTTTATTTTTTAAAATGTGTATTTCTATCTCACCTTTATTATTTTAACACATAACTCAAGGTGGCAAACTTACCTAACACACTTTCCTCCTTCTGTTTTTCCCACAACAACAACCCTGTGAGATGGGTTGGCCTGTGAGACTTCCTAATGGCTCAAAGTCACCCAGCTGGCTTTCATGCCTGAGGTGGGACTAGAACTCAACATCTCCCGGTGATTGGCCCAAAGTCAACCAACTGGTTTTCATGGCTAAGGTGGACTTGAACTCATGGTCTCTTGTCTTAACCTGGTGCCTTACTCACTAGACCAAACTGGCTGATTTAGATTTTCCTTTTTCAGAGCATCCTCATCTTGGACATTTGTTGAATTTATTTGCTTAGGAAAAACATTTCACTTTTATTTGTTTTTTTTGTGTGTGCGATAGCTGGTGGTTCCTACTTCATGATTTCAAGATCACTGGGTCCTGAATTTGGCGGTGCGGTGGGACTGTGTTTCTACTTGGGAACAACATTCGCAGGTGCCATGTACATCCTTGGTGCCATTGAGATCCTACTAGTAAGTAATCAACAAATATATTGCCAGAGAAGTGACAATGCATTAGATTTACCAACGAACATGCAGAGAGATTCACTGAGATTGTTCCATTATTGCTTCTGCTAATTGAAGCACCTATTTTCTTAAAACTTCGAAAACGTTATCTGGCCCTACATGCTGTGGGTTGGTATAGAAAAAAAAATGTTTGAATTCCTAAACCAAAATTGGAACTTTAATTGAAAAGAATGCAATTGAAAGGGTAGAAGAATTTTTTTTCCAACCCTCATTACTAGCATTGTATTTCCCAGGTCCAGCATGGTTCAGAAGTCCTCTTGGTTGAAATTCCAGAAGCTTCAATTACAAATCATCTGGTGGCTGGCCTAATTGAAGGGAGGGGCTGTGGTGTCTGACTTTACTTCTGGATGTTGTGCACCTCTCGCCTTCCTAATGTGTGTCTTGGACAGCTTGCTTTTTTTTTTTTGCCAACACTAAAGTCATGTTCTTACTCTTTCAGACATACATTGCTCCCCAGGCTGCCATTTTCCATTCAACTGGGGCCCATGATACTTCCAGTGCCACACTGAATAACATGCGAGTCTATGGGACCTTATTTCTCACCTTCATGACTCTTGTGGTCTTTGTGGGTGTAAAATATGTGAACAAGTTTGCTTCACTCTTTTTGGCTTGTGTCATCATTTCCATCTTATCCATCTATGCTGGGTCAATTAAATCCATCTTCAGTCCACCTTTTTTCCCGTAAGTAGAAGTACTTCAGAAAGGCAAATTATAAATGCTAGTTGTGTGGTAAAATCTCTAGCTAGCTTGGAGGGAGGTGTTAAGAGGGGGCCGAGCTTAGAGTCCTTGCACTGCAGAAAGTAGCACATACCTGAAGAATTGGAATCTAGAGAAGACTATTCCCCAGGGAATGCTCTCCATCTGGCAAAATTCTTGCAATATAAGTGACCAACAATGAAGCTTCTGTTTGAGACTATCCAAAAGTGGTTCAGGTTGCTTGTGCTTGACAGAACCCAGGGATGAAAGAGAGGAGACCGTGATATTCCAGCTTATTAGTCCATTGAGGGAGGAAACCATTCAGTGAAGGAAACCTTTGAGGTCAAACCTTTAGGTCAACATCTGGGTTCCCCAAGGGAAGATGACTTCATGGTGAATTCTTGTAAACTAGTTATCAACAATAAAGAACTCTATTTGACCCATTCTTAGAGCTGCTCTGATTGCTTGCACATGGCAAGTTGGATGTTAATGAAATAGTCCTCATATTTAGTGATCGTTCAAAGTTACAATGGCACTGGGAAAAAAAGACTTATGACTATTTTTCACATTTACAACCGTAGCAGCATCCCCATGATGAAAAAATTCAGACATTTGGCAACTGGCTCATATTTATGACAGTTGCAGTGTTCCGTGTTATTTGATCACCTTTTTCAACCTTCTGATAAACAAAGTTCAATGAGGAACCCAGATTCATTTTACAACAATGTTACTAACTTAACAACCGTAGCAATTCCCTTAACAACTGTGACAAGAAAGGTCATTAAACTGGGCAACATTCACTTAAGAACTGGAAATTTGGGGAGTCAACTGTGGTCATAAGTCAAGGACTACCTATAGCGGCAGAAGCTCCTGACAATGAACCTGTCAATGGAATTCTACGCCCTACTAAATATATTAATTTTTTTTGGGGGGGGTCATTTGATGGCTTTGCTTTTGTGGCCCTGTGGTTTCTTTTAAAAAACGGAGGTGTCACTGTTTTTCTCGCACTAAATTAATATAGAATTATTTCACCTTGTGAAATGTATTGAAGTAAAAACAATAAAGATTCTGAGCCTTGGAAGGTTACCAGATTATTAAGGTATCTGCTTAGAATCTGTTTCTCAGGGCAAAACCTACAAGCAGTAAGGTTCAGAAGGAATCTTTCATTATTTGTGCATGTTTATTTATTTATTTACAGTGGTATTTATACACTGTATAAATAAATATGCAGATAATGTGCGCCTTGTGTTGTATAGTAAAGCGATATTAACACAAAAAAGGAAGTGCATAGAAAAGGTCCAATGTTTTCATTTGCTTCTTTTTATTTTGATTGTTTTAAACTCTCACGTATATAAATGTTCAGTGTTGTTTTGTGTACTGATATAGGAATGCAAAATAGAATTTATGGTCTGTTTAATCTTTACATTTCCTCCTCTGTGTCTTAATATATATTTGTATTTGTATCTCCAAGCTGGTAACTTTCAGATGGGTTGGAATAGAAAAAAAATGGTTGAATTCCTAAACCAAAATTGGAACTTTAATTGAAAAGAATGCAACTTGAAAGGGTAGAAGAATTTTTTTCCCCAACCCTCGTTACTAATATTAGAACTTGGAATCTTCCTCTGAAAACTGATGAAGGGGCTAAATTTAGCTAAGAGAAAAGTTTCTTTTCATGTATCAGCAAATGTTGCTGTTTTTCACCCTCGGAAAAGCAGGCAACTTATTTTGGAAAGTCAGATGCTGGATTTAGTCTTCTTCCTGCTGCCTTCATGGTGTTTTATCAAAAGGAGGTCTGAGAAGATAAGAAACAAAGACATATCCTTGCATATTTTTTAAATGAACCGTTTTTGGCAGCTCTTTGAGAAGAGTTGGGGTAGTGGGAAGAATATTTTTCTTTGAAGAGAAATGTGCCAACCTTCAAGTGATGAAAATGTTGTGGTCCTTTTTCCCTAGGGTGTGCATGCTAGGCAACCGGACTCTTTCAAGGGACCAGTTTGATATTTGTGCCAAAACAACGATGGTCGACAATGTGACAGTGCCCACCGATCTCACCAACCTCTTTTGCCCGGGTTACAACACAACCTCCGGCCACTGCGACGAATATTTTCATTTGAATAACGTGACCGAGATTGTTGGCATCCCGGGAGCTGCAAGTGGAATTTTGAAAGGTAATCTTAAATCCCATAGCATCACTTGGGGGGGCGAGGAAGTAAGAGCACTGATGACCACATCAGAGTTTGCAGATCATCCATTCCATGTACAAGACAGTGGTGGGATTTTTTTTACTACTGGTTCTGTGGGCGTGGCTTGGTGGGCATGGCAGAGAAAGGATACTGCAAAATCCCCATTCCCTCCCCACCCCACTAACCTGCTTTCCAGCTCCGTTCTCCTGTGCAGGGCAACCAAAGAAGATCCAGCTGATCAGCTGGGACTCAATGGGAGGCAGAGAAGAGAGACGGGGTTGGTGGGGCCAGTCAGAGGTGATATTCGCTGGTTCTCTGAACCACTCAAAATTTCCGCTACTGGTTCTCCAGAACTGGTCAGAACCTGCTGAATACCACCTCATGCCTCACCAAGGACCGTGTGGTTTGTGGGCTGAAGATCCCACATCCCACATCTGGCATCTCCCTCTAGGGCTAAGAAAATCTCCAATCAGAAACCTTGTTAAATAATTGTCAAGTCAGTTAAGGGCTGGGCCACCTCATGCTTTTGAGATGTTTTGGGTTTCAATTTTATAGCCCCAGGTCATTGGCCTTGTTGGTCCAAAACAGCATGAAAGTCCAAAGTTGTCTACTTGTGGTCTAAACAGTACGGAGGTTCTTAATCTACATTTAAAGAAAATGAAGACATTGTGTGCTGTCTTGTATAGTACAAGAGATTATATAATCTCAGATTCAAATACAGCGAAGATAGGGGGAAGGAGGAGATGAAGAAGTGGAAATGATATACCTAGCTGGATTTGCACAATAACAATGAAATGTGAGAATACCAAAATCTCAAAAAATAAGAAAATATAGTGGCTGTGATTGTACAGTTGAAGCTCATCCCTTCTACATATATTGGGGTCTTCAAACTGAGCCACTTTAAGATTTCTGGACTTCAACTCCCAGAATTCTGGGAATTGATATCCACAAGTCTTAAAGTTGCCATGTTTGGAGATCCCAGATAGATAGATAGATAGATAGAGAGAGAGAGAGAGAGAGAGAGAGAGAGAGAGAGAGAGAGAGAGACTTGGGGAAGAACTTTCTGATGTGTTCATCAGATCCCTGATGTGTACATAAGGGGAGGAACTTCTTGTTGTAACGACAGCTATCTTGATTGTCTTATCCCCCATTGTGATTTGTCAAATTTTAATAGTTTCAAGTATGGAATCAACCATAGTTGTTAGCTATTATGTTTGTAAAGAATTTTCTCATTTCTGGACAGGAAAACCCACCTTCCTTGGCTAAGTGTAGACCGTATGTATAGACTTTGCTTGGTTCCTAGTAAACCTAACAATCTGTTTTTCATTTTCATTTTTTCATTTATTCCTGATGAGTCTTGTTTCCACCATCCTAGATAATGTCTGGGGTAATTACTTGGAGAAAGACGAGATCCTGGAAAGAGCAGCCTCTCCTTCTGCTGATGTAGCTGGAGATAAGAACAACCTCCACTTGTATGTGTATGCGGACATAGCAACTTCCTTCACTGTCCTGGTTGGCATCTTCTTCCCCTCTGTGACTGGTGAGAATATACAGCGACTGATGTGTCTGGATGTATTTTGGTGTATTTTGGGTTTTTTGGGGAAGTATCAGTACTATCTGCCTTTTTTGTTTTCCTTTGAAGGCATCATGGCCGGCTCCAACCGATCAGGAGACCTCAAGGATGCCCAGAGATCTATTCCAGTGGGAACCATTCTTGCTATCGTCACCACATCTCTTGTCTGTATCCTTTAAACATAGGAATGTACATGTTATGGTTTTAGTAGTTCAGAAGCTTTATTCTTGGGGTCTGACTAATAATAATATCTGCCCTGACTCTTGGAAAGGAAAGAGAAGATTAGACTAGCATGAAGGTTCCCTTGAAATAAAGGATGGCATTCCTGCTGGCTATAGGTATGCTTTTCATTTACCTGTTCTTGTACCTCCAAGGTATTTCTTGCCCCTCTCAAAGATATAAAAAGTCTTAAGCACCCACCAAGGTTATTGCACTTACTTTTCACTTTCTCAATCTCTTCCTTCTGCACAAAACATATGAACAAGTTTTTGTGCTGATCTCATTCTATTGAAGTCACATTTGGGGGCATTTAGAAGGTAGACATGGAGAGCAACAAAAATGGAATAGGTATTAGGTGACTATCTCAGATGTGTTAGGGAGAATGTTTTCTGCGTTATTTCACCTGCAGCGTTAGGCCAACCAAGCACCATGTTTTTATCAATATTATGCAAATACAACAGTGGTGTGATGTTAAGTATTGCATTGCCTTTTGTGCGTCAAGTAGTTGTGGAACTGTGGTCCATTCTTGAGATGCTACAATTGACTTGAAGGAGCTACATGTTCTCCAGATGCAATGACTTAAATATTGTTGATTTGCTGAAGGAAAGAAATGACATTCTTGTTACTATGTGTTATGAATATGTATGTAATTAACCCTAAGTGCTATAGTGTATTTAATTTCTCCCAATATATTTAATTTAATTTCAACCCATTACTAAATGCTGTTAAGAAAAGTGTGACAAGAAGAATGGCATCCCCTTAGAAATTATCAAGATGACTTTTGTGCTGTCCTGATCATTGCTATTTTACTTTGCAAATTGTATTGGCAGAGCCTGACAATTTTTGTGACAGCAGAAGAGGAATTCTTATGTTATATTACTGTAAGAGGAATATTTATGCCTGGTTGCTACAAATGTAGGTATTAATTGCATCAAAATTCTGGCTTTCTTAACCTTGATTTGCACCTCACAGATTTCAGCTGTGTATTATTGTTTGGAGCTTGCATCGAAGGCGTTGTTCTTAGAGATAAGTAAGTAATTATTCCAGATTTTCCTTTCAAGGAAGGGAGTCAATTTTTTTTCTCTGATTGCTATTGATGCTTCCCTTTGCAGAATAGATATCTGATTTTTCTTTTTGACAAACTGCATGGAATGTATTTTTCCCCTAATAAGCGTTAGTGGCTTTCAGCACATAGGACTGTTAGCAGAGCATGATTTCAAAGTACAAAATGTACAGTAATGGCTAAAACTCTAAAACCTCACTTTCCCCCCTTTTTTTAAAGGCAGTTTTCTAGTCTCTTTCCCCTCTCCCCTTTATTTATTTAGCCTTTTAAAAAATAATTATGTCCTTCCTCAAAGGATGTGCTGTGCACATTACGATAGGTGAAGTCAAGAGATACCGGCAGGCCCCAAATCACCCAGAATTGTCTAAAGATGAGTAAGAATTTGCATTGTTCTTTCTGAATTAATCTGAGACTGAACTCACAGCATGACTGGCTGGGGAATTCTTGGAGTTGAAATCCACCCATCTTAAAGTTGAGAAGGTTGAGAAACACTGCCCTATGGGAGTCCCATGGCTGGGTTGATGGCCCATAGCAGGATAATCCATGCAAATAATCCATACTTATTTTGCATGCATTATTTATATTTTGCATCTGGAACCATCCAGATGTGTTTCACCTGGAACTCCCAGAATTGCTCAGTCAGCATGGATTTGCATAATTGACCATATCCTTCCAATATCTTTCTATGATTGCATTAGAAGCATTTGTATATGCTTGAATGTCTCTATTTGAGCCATTTTGCAAGGACAGCACTTCTATTATTTAACCAAAGCTCTGCAAAATAGTAGTAGACTTTTACGTTTCCAAGAAATAGTTGACAGATAATGTAGAAGCAGATGGGGAGTGGGGAAAAGCGGCTAAGCCACATTGGTATTATCTTACATTCTTAAATGGAGAGAATGGGAGCTTTTAGACATTACCATTGCTATCAAGTTGCCAGCTTTAAAGGCTGTGAATCCTGCCCCTGTGTGGTCTAAGAATAAAATGGTATTTATGTGGTTCCTAAGAATAGTTTTTTGGCAACTTAAAAGGCTGAGGCTACTTTGCAAAACTTGAGTTGATCTAATAAAAAGACCACCTCTTCTGCTGTTCTTTTGCTTGCGTCTTGTATTTATATTCTGCCTTTTCTCTAAGAGTTTAATACAATATAAATCGTTAACTCTGTGTAGTAGGCTGGGCCGAGAGACAGCAACTGTCCCAAAGTTTAAACCTGTGGCTAAGTGATGACCTTCACTATAATCTCTCCAACCCAATTTCAGCATTTTATATTATGAGATCATGCTAACCTTTACATACTTTGGTTACTGTTCCTTTTTGTGAGGGATTTTTAGGAGAGAATAAAGGTTCTAGGAGAGAATAAGGGGTGGTAACGGTGGTGATGACCAGGAGGAGGAGGAGGAAGAAGAAGAGTGGAAGGATGGGCAAGAAAGGAGGAAAAGGAAAGGAGAGAAAGGGAGGGAGGGAAGGAGGGAGAGAGAGGGAGAGAGAAAGAAAAGAGAAAGAAAGAAAGAAAAGAGGAAAGAAAGAAAGAAAGAGAAAGAAAGAAAGAAAGAAAGAAAGAAAGAAAGAAAGAAAGAAAGAAAAGAAAGAAAGAAAGAAAGAAAGAAAGAAAGAAGGAGAAGGAAGATGTAGGCAGTGTGTGTATATATGATTGAAGGTTTCTGGGATTATTTTTGATGTTAACATGTTTCATGGTTTGAAAAAGTTTGAAAACCCCTGCTTGATGTGAAGAGCAAGTTGACTTCTCCTTAGAAAGATCATTGAACATCAGATGGAAATGCCAAACAACTTTGAAGTCTTTTTTTAAATAAACGAATTCTCTCCTCACAGGTATGGTGATGCCGTGAACAAGAACTTAGTGGTGGGCACCCTGGCCTGGCCCACGCCATGGGTCATAGTGATTGGGTCCTTCTTCTCTACCTGTGGAGCAGGCTTGCAGAGCCTCACTGGAGCTCCACGCCTCCTTCAAGCGATTGCCAAAGACAACATTATCCCATTCCTCAGGGTTAGTCCTTTTTTTTTTTTTTAAGAGCGAAAGTTGGAATAATTTGATGCATCGAATTAGATGATGTAGAAACTCCCTGGGAAAAAAAAAAGGAGATCCCTAGAATGTTTGATCTTGAGAATTTCCACTTCCGTTGCTTTTGGAAAACGTGTAACTGGCATGAAAATAACCCAAATGCTGAACAAAGAGCAAACAGGGGAGCCCGTTTGCAAATTAATTAATTAAAATTAATTAATTAATTAGCTCAAATTAATTTTGCAACTAGACATCACCTGGCAGATTTTGCAAGATAATATAGTTCTGACCTGAAGGCACTTCGACATCCATCTCCAGGGTTTGTGGTCTTCTGACTTACAACAGCTTTCGTTCAGAACTTACTTTCCTCTACTTGCCCCGATTCCCAGATATGCTTATAAATCTGGCCCTGGGAAAGAGAAACATATTGTAGCTCGATGTTGGAAGTCATTGTGTGAATGGAAACAGATGCTGAACCCTTGCAATCAGAAGCAGCCGCTCTGTAATTTGGATTGATTTTCTGTCCAAAGCTCAGCACCATATCCATATGTTGGGTTGATGTGGCTTTGCTAGACTAAATTCTCATTGAGGCTGAGCTAAAGACGGTGAGACAATACCTTCTGAAACCGAAGCCAAGGGAAGTTGTCATACTCCTGAGTATGGAACTAATTCTCAAATGCCTAGGGTACCAAATGAAGAATAGAGAACACAGATGTTTCTCTCAGAAGTGAGGAGGAAGCAACTGTTTTGCCCAAACGGAAGATGAACCCAACCAGTTCCTTATGACTCATCATGAAACGATGACATACAAAATATGTTTGTTCTTCAGTCTCTGTTTCTCTCTCCTTCCCCCCTTCCCTTTTTTTATTTAAAAAACAAAAACAGGTGTTTGGCCATGGAAAGGTGAACGGAGAACCAACCTGGGCTCTTCTACTCACAGCCCTCATAGCTGAGCTTGGTATTCTAATTGCCTCTCTTGATATGGTGGCCCCCATTCTTTCTATGTAAGTTTGCAAAATGTTGGTTTTTAGATGTAGGGTGGGGGGAAGGTCTTTTGGCCTTCTGACAAAGCACACCATGCATGGTCCAGATTTGTAATTCCATGAAAGTCTTCTCCTTTGAGCTGAGTTGAAAAATTTGAAAGTTTGTCAAAATTGAGTGGAGATGGAAGAGGTTGAAATAGCCTCTTTTTTCTTTCACTCTTGGAGAAGCTCAGAATATTTTTATGGGGTGATGTAGCTTAGGGTTATTTTGAGACGCGGTGGGTCAGTGGCTAAGACACTGAGCTTGTCGATCAGAAAGGTCGGCAGTTCAATGGTTTGAATCCCTAGCACTGCGTAAGTGAGCTCCTGTTCCTTGTCCCAGCTTCTGCCAACCTAGCAGTACGAAAGCATGTAAAAAATTCAAGTAGAAAAATAGGGACCACTTTGGTGGGAAGGTAACAGCGTTCCGTGTGCCTTCGGCGTTTAGTCATGCCAGCTACATGACCACGGACACGTCTTCGGACAGTGCTGACTCTTTGGCTTTGTAACAGAGATGAGCACCACCCCCTAGAGCTGGAAAGGACTAGCGTGTATGTGCAAGGGGAACCTTTACCTTTACCTAGCTTAGTTTTTGGAATATGATGGGAATTAAAGTTGAGAATATGGTACCAGGCCATTGGTAAGTTCCCAACTTCTAGAAGATTGGTCCCAAAGGTGTTTTTCCAAAGGCAATGGGACTTTCTTGTTTTTTTCCCTCTTGAATAACAAGGAAGTCCAGTAGCCTTTGGAAAAGCATGACTTGGATGATTGAGAATCTCCAACGACATCTAGAAGATTGTTCATTCTTTATCATTTCTGCTCCTCTGGAGTAGGAATTGTAGGGCTTGAACTGATGCATCTGGAGCAATCTAGGCCGAAGAAACTTGATATAAATACTGAGAAACTTTTTTGTTTCAGCTTCAAAAAAATAAAAACTGGAATTTAAAAGTGACTAAGAACTTGAGTGAAGGCCAACATTTCATTAGATGTTGGCCTTCTCACGCAAAATCTCCTGACAGCTCACGTCAGAACTCTGATGTTCGTGAGATGTGGCAGCCTTGTGAGATTTCAGACCTTATTACTAGATTTTGCTTTATTAAAGACAAATATTACTTAATATCTATGGCACATAGGCTGTCTGGAAGAGTCATTTCTAGTCTAGGGGCTGCCCAATTGCAAAGAAACATCAGTTATATTGAAGAAACAACTAGGGACATTCTCAGTACGTTTCTGGATATTTCCTGGGATATACTTTAAAAGTACCACAAAGTTTTGCAATCAAAATGTGGTTGCAATCAAAATAAATAGATTTGTATTTTTATTCTTTTGCAGCCCTATTGCAGAAGACAGTTTTCAACTGCCACCTAGCGTTGATTCTGATACATCACTGTTAAACAAAAGGAATCTTGTCTATTAGTGCAATTATTTCTCAAGCAGTTATTGCTCATTATTGTTGTGACAGTCTTCGAACAAATCTAATAGTTAGTAACTTAGAAGACTTTTTCATTCCTCAATTGTTTTCCTTTCCTGCATTTTCATGGCAAGTGAGGAACATCTGCAGGGTATGTTAACAAAGTCAAGATGGCACCATAGTGATGTGGTTGAGGCTTCGTTGTGTTTTTTAAGTGCATCACACATGGAAAATCACACTGTTATTGCCATCTTGGCATTTCTGACCATATCCTTCAGAAATCCTGGCTACAAATAGTGGATAGCAGGAGTTGCAACAATAAGATGCCCCAGAAAGCAAAAAAATGTTAAAATTAAATTCAGAATGAAGAAAAGGGCAACTGTCAACTTTCATGCAATGATCCTTTCTCCTCTTTCTTCCTCTTTGCCATCCCAAATTAGGTTTTTCCTAATGTGTTACCTGTTTGTCAACCTGGCCTGCGCAGTGCAGACTCTCTTAAGAACTCCAAACTGGCGGCCCAGATTTAAGTATTACCACTGGTAAGAGTTTTTTGAGTAAACGAGCTAGGAGAAGAGTTGCTTCTAAAATTGTCTTCGTGATCATGAAATGTTACGAGTCAAAAGCCCCAAACACTTGAGAATTTGTGAAACCAGAAGTGCTTGGAAAATGTCTGTTGGCCTATTGTGTCTCTCTGGCCTGGTTTCATACCTTATTGTGTCATATTGATAATATCTTCAACCTGAATACGTAACTAAACTATTGCAGTGACTGCACAATCGTGCATTGCCATCAACACAGATTCCCTGGAATCTTTTCATCCTTCTAGCTGTCATTCTTCAAGAAATACTTGCATGTATGGAACTTATTCACACACACACACACACACAATTTTTTTACATATATAAATATCGAATACAGTGCAAGCTTCCTGGCATTCCTCTGCCTTACATACTAAATTGTAGAAACAACTAACCAACATATTATTTGTACATTACTAATTTTGTTACAATTATTTTGACCACAATATTCATTTTGATTCATCTATGGTGTCATATTCTGGGTCTGTTTATCCTAGCTATTTTGTGTTTCCACTTCCTCCTCTCGCTTCCAACCATCGGTAGAATCTATTCCATGTATTGTAGTATTCTGTTTTCCCCTTTGTTTTTTTAATTCTAGAGTTAATCTATCTAATTCTGTGCAAACCAATATTTTTTTAATTATCTATCTTTCCAAGGGTGTGTGTTCCTTCTTCCATGGTTGGGCGTATACCATTCTTGCTGCTGTTAGAATGTATAATATTAGATAAGTTGATTCTTTGCTGTCGCCCTCAGTTACAATTCCTAATAAGAATAATGCTGGCTTAAATTCTATATGTTGTCCCACTATTTGTTCTAACCACTTTTCAATCTATCGCCAATATTTCCTTGCATGTTTGCACATCTACTACATATGCTACTATGTGCCTGGTACTTGCTTACATTTCCAACATTTTGGTGACAATTTTCTAAGCATTTTAGCCAGCCTTGCTGGAGGAAGATGTCACATATAAAATATTTGACACAAGTTCTCTTTATATCATGTAGCCAATGTTAATTTCCTGTTTTTTAGCCTATTGACATTTTGAGTTTTATTTCCTTAGGGCCCTCTCCTTCTTAGGGATGAGTATCTGTCTTGCCCTGATGTTCATCTCCTCCTGGTATTATGCTTTAGTGGCCATGCTCATTGCTGGCATGATCTACAAGTACATTGAGTATCAGGGGTAAGTAAATTTATAATGAAAATAATTTGATTTAAGGTAGATGGAGGGATAAAATTGTAAAACTGGGCATCTAAGCCCCAACTAGTTCCATCTAGACCCTTCCTCCCTGGGGCAGCCCCTCAAATATTGGAAGACTCTGCCTGCTTTTTTCCAACAACTCTGACACTCTTTTTTTTTACTAGGGCGGAGAAGGAATGGGGTGATGGGATTCGGGGTCTCTCTCTAAGCGCTGCCCGGTATGCTTTGCTGAGATTGGAAGAAGGTCCTCCCCATACCAAGAACTGGAGGTGGGTTCTTTCAATTTAATGTACATTTTGTGTAAGTTTTCCCCTCCCCATGGGGAAGTCAATGCATTTCTGATTTCGTCACCACTTCTCTGTGATTCAAAATTAGACAGTCAACTTCTCTTTGAAGGCCGATTTTTTTTGCAGTTGCTAAACTTTGAGGGACCCTGAAGTCCTAAGAACATAAATATAGAAACGGAATCAGTGCCCTCTTTGCATTGGATCTGGCTGTGACCAAACCTTAGAACATAGAATAACAGAGTTGGAAGGGACCTTGGAGGACATCTAGTCCAACTCCCTGCTCGAGCAGGAGAGTCTGTTCCAAATATTACCCTTTACCTAGGATCGAACTCACAGCCTCCTGATTGTGAGGTGAGAACTCCACCTCTAGGCCATTCCTATGTCCTTCTGCGTGAAACAAATTGCAATGAGCCAGAATGAGCCTGGGGCAAAACACTGAAATTGCTTTTCTTTTCTTTTCTTTTTGCTTTGTGTGTGTGTGTGTGTGTGTGTGTGTGTGTGTGTGTGTTATTGTACATTTTTCCTTAACATGCATAACTGTTCCAATTATACGTCTTTGTGTACTGGTTACATGAGGTCACTTTTTCTTTTTTCATCATGTTATACATCCTAATTAAGTCTATCATACAATATACTCTCTCCATCATGTTATATATCCAATTTACTACTATTATTTACTTATTTCTATTGTATTACGCTATTACAATTCTCACTTTATGCACTTCGTACTATATTCTTGTACAGTTCAATAATATAATTATGCAGTTTCTTACATTGTTTCTTACATCATTGTATATATGTATTTTGTTGATTTTCTTTCCTTATTTAACACTAATCTCTGCTTCTATTATATTATGCATCCAAATTGTCTCTATTATCCTCTGCCGTGATATATTATTACAATCCTCACTTTATGCCCTTCATATTATGTTCATGTACAGTTCATAAATATACTTTTTGACATGGTTTATTCTGGCATGTCTGTGTATATGTGTTTTGTTTGATCTTCTTTGCTTATTTAACACTGAAATTTCTTAAAGTTTCTTGGGAACAGCCAGAAGGGCCAATCCTCTATAGAGTGGCTTAATTGATTCCAGTTTATTGTTGGAGGGCATGACCTCTGTCTCTTAAAATTCACTTCTTTTTCTTCCTTCTGTAGACCCCAATTATTGGTGTTGCTGAAGCTGGATGAGGATTTGCATGTGAAATACCCCAGACTCTTGACATTCGCATCACAACTAAAAGCTGGGAAAGGCTTGACTATTGTAGGAACTGCCATACAGGGTAACTTTCTGGAAAGTTATGGAGAGGCTCAGGCAGCTGAACAGGTGAGCCTTGGTGAAACCAGGTGTGAAGGATTTTATCGTCTGGGATCTTGGACCGAAATGTTTACAAGACTTCCAAAACAAAAACAAAAAACCCAACAACCCCAAAGCAAAGCTGCTCAGGGAGTCTCCTGAAAAAATCAGTGGCATATCAACCAACCACCCTCATAAATTTTATATGAACTACTCTTGCAGCGCTTCAAACCATCCATTCTGTGTGCAGTAACTAAATTTTGGGTTGCTGCAATGAAAGCAAGATGTCATTGGTTAAAGACATGTTTATTTTTGTTTTAAACATTACTTTGGATTGGATACATGTTAAGTAATTAATGGTGGGGGATATATAGTTTTAATTTTGTCAGAAATGAGCTGTCAAAGCTATTCCAGCCGGACTTATTAATACCCTAAGCTGAGTATTTTAAGCTCATCTAGGAACTGCCACAGGTACAGTATTTGTGGTGTAATTTCAGAGGACAAAGAGGAACAAGCTTCGATTAATTGATTTTTCTACCACACTTGCTTCCAGTTCTGGTCACCATGAGACAAAAAATGACGTTGAGACCCTAGAAAGAGTGCAGAGAAGAGCAACAAAGATGATTAGGGGATTGGAGGCTAAACTATGCAATGAATGATTGAGGGAACTAGTTATGTTTAGTCTAACAAAGAGAAGAACTAGGGGTGGCATGATAGCAGTCTTCCAGTACTTAAGGAGCTGTCACAGAGGAGGGGTCAACTTATTATCCAAAATACCTCTGGGCAGGATGAGAAGTAATGGGTGGAAGACCATTAAAGAGAGATCCAATCTAGAATTAAAGAGACATTTCCCGATAGTGAGAACAATTAATCAGTGGAACAGCATACTTCCAGAAGTTGTCCATCACTGGAGGTTTTGAAGAAGAGACTGGACAGCCATTTGTCTGGAATGGTATAGAGTTTCCTGCCTAAGCAGGGGGTTGGACTAGAAGACCTCCAAGGTCCCTTCCAACCCTGTTATTCTAGGTTCTACATTATAATATCATGAGCACAGTTCACTTCAATGAGGGGTCTTCGTGTAATCTGCATTCAATTTAATTTCTTCCCATTCTATTGTGACTAAATAATCTTCTTTAAACATGCACTGGCTTAAACTCTCTGCATCAGTGGGCATGTGGACTTTCAAGAGGTATTTCTAAAATGCAGTTTGATTTATCATCTGTAAAAGGGACAGATCTTTGTGTTTTTAATGGTCTTCTGGCCAGCTTCCCATAATGATGACCTTTGGATCTGCTTGGTTGCCTTCCAGACCATCAAGAATATGATTGAGATTGAGAAGGTCAAAGGATTTTGCCAAGTTGTTGTAGCTAATAAAGTCCGTGATGGCATTTCCCACTTGATACAGTCCTGTGGATTAGGTGGCATGAAGCACAACACTGTGGTTTTGGGGTGGCCCTATGGCTGGAGGCAGAGTGAAGATTCTAGAGCTTGGAAAACCTTTATAGGTAAGTTCAAAGGATGTTGGTTAGCATTCTTCTTGGTTTGTTTTCTTTCTCAAGCATGATTCAAGCACTGTTTCCTGTGGTGAACAGTAGTGCGTGTAAAATTTATTATTTAAAATTCAAAATAAGGCTGTTCTGTTCTCAAAAGAAGGACTTCAATACTGTTGTGAGTTTGCAAGGATTTCTGTCGAAAACTCTGATTTGGATGGACTTTAATCTTATTAAAAAATTTCCGTCTGCCTGTAGAAAGAGTTTCTGTGTGTGGAATTCTTCCTAAATCTTATGTATCCTTTCTTACTTCATCATTTCTTAATAGTTTTAGGAACTAAAACTAATAGTTCAAGGAACAAGGGGGCACAGAATGATCTTGGGATACAATAGCTAAAATCCAACAAGGGGCTGTTCTCAGTGTCAGTCTATGTCAATTATTATTAGTTTATGTGAAGTTTTACAATTTTATTTTTAAGAAGTGTGGAAATTACTGTTTATTAAGTTAGGATATTATTTTGAGTAACTCAGATTTGTCAACATGGATTGACTGCAATGATAGATCAGAGTTTCTTTGGGGTTCCAGTCAAGGAGTTTGCTTGGATTTTCCTGGTAGAGCCAAGGTGCCAAATATTTATTCTGTGCTAGAATTATACACTTCCTGATTAATAGCATTGCCAATTTGAAATTCATGCAACATTATTTTTGTGTCTTTAAAATATTAGTTAAGTTTACCAATTATACTATTTTTTGTTCTGTTGGTTTGGAAGCATTGCACCAAAATTCTTCAGTCCTTTTACCTACCTCTTAACTTTGTGCAGCCTACTTGTCACTCAACAGAGATTTGGTGGTGATCATTTCCTTCCAGTTCTGTCCTTCTTCCAGTATTCTCAACCAATCAGGGATCATATCTACTATATATACCATTAACACTCTTGTATCTGATTATAATCTTCGGTGGGATAAAATGGCGCATCATGGGGCAACAATTTTTAAATCAACGTATCTCACAAGAGCCACCTTATAGAATGTGTCCAAAATCTAGGAGCATGCCTCCCATGGCATTGAAATTTGGCAAAGTTGTGGCTGCTTCAGTGTTACTGTACTATCATGATTAATGACAATCATTTCCAATGTTCCCTACTAGCTTCCCACAGGGAACAATGGGAAGCCAGCAGGAAGTCAGAAGTCTCTCTTCATTCCACTGTATTTTTGCCTATCCCTTCATGGTGATTCTGTTTCGCTGTACATATAAGGAAATATGTCTGAAACAATGAATAGTGGGTTATCTAGTTTGAGATAAAATTAAAATCCAGTTCTGTAGCCAACCAGATTTGAGCCTCAGCAACCATGTCTTTGCTTTTTTTAATTTCAGACACCGTCCGCTGCACAACTGCAGCTCACCTTGCCTTGCTTGTGCCGAAAAATGTGTCCTTCTATCCCAGCAATCATGAGCGTTACAATGAAGGGAACATCGACGTGTGGTGGATCGTGCACGATGGAGGCATGTTGATGCTGCTTCCATTTCTCCTCAAACAGCATAAAGTAAGAATGCCAAGAACTACTCGGAGTTTACTAGGCCTGCCTTGGTTGAACTAGGTGAACCTTTAGTAGCATCTATTGAGTTATGTTGGCTGATACAGTTGAGAAAATTCACAACTTTCCCAGGCTGTTAATTCACCTTTTTTTAAAAAAAGGGCAACATTTAATCAGGCAACAACAATCAGGCAGTGTCAATGCATAATTTAAAAAAAAAATCTCCATAAAATGTATGATGATGAATATAGGAATATAGGAAGTCAACTGACTTGAGTGGCTTAAAAGGTAAAGGTTCCCCTTGCACATATGTGCTAGTTGTTTCCGGCTCTAGCGGGCGGTGCCCATCTCTGTTACAAAGCCGAAGAGCCAGCGCTTTCTGAAGACGTCTCCGTGGTCATGTGGCCGGCAGGACTAAACACCTTTCTAGGCGCATGGAACGCTGTTCCCTTCCCACCAAAGTAGTCCCTATTTTTCTACTTGCATTTTTACATGCTTTGGAACTGCTCGGTTGGCAGAAGTTGGGACAAGTAACGGGAGCTCATTCTGCTATGGGGCGCTAGGGATTCGAACCGCCATCTTGCCAACCTTTCTGATCAACAAGCCCAGCGTCTTAGCCACTGAGCCACTGCTTTAAATGGTTCTTAAATGGCTTAGGAACCGTTTAAAGTTACAACAGACCTTTCTCAAAGATGCAACCTGTTCCCCAGTTCTTCAGGCTCTTCCCTCTCCTCCCCCAAAGTCATGTGACCCTATTTTGGGCATTTGGCAGCTGGCCCACATTTGCAGCTAATTTACAGCCTCACGTGACCTCTGTTTACAACATTTTGGGGGGCAAAAATCAGCCTCTGCTTCTGAAAAATTTGCATTTACTTTTGGTTTTTGGCGAACACACCTCATAGTGAATACATTGATTGGCTTAAAGACCCCATGGGAGTTTGCTTGATGACAGTCGCCCCAAAAAACTATTGTAAAGTTGGATCAGTCATACGATGGCTCACTTTACCACTATCATGGTTGTAATTGTGATTGTCAGGCTCCATTGTGGTCATAAGTTGAGGACTATAGAATACTGAATAACAGAGTTGGGGGGGAATTTAGAGGTCTCTTCTAGTCCAGCCCCCCTGGTCAGGCAGGAGATCCTGTAACTACTTGTATGTATTTCTTGGGCTACAGTTCCCAAAAAAGAAACTCGTTTTTATTATAATTAGAGACGTCGGTGATTTCTTCTCCATCCCACATAAAGTGACCAGACTTACTTACTTCTCCATGTAACTCACAGTCCAGATGATTCATGTGGGTACCCCATGGGTGGGGAATGGGGAACAATATATGACTTGTGACGCATGTACCTGTACAAAGAAGGATAGCATGGAAATGTTGGTGTTTACAAAAAGCTGATCAGTTTGTAGTCTTGTTCTTGCTTACATGCAAATATATATATATTTAGGATGTATAGAAACTTGTCTTTCCAGAGGTATATTTTAGTTATTTAGTTAGGTGTTTATTCAAATTTTCTGCCTTTATTATTTTTATAAATAACTCAAGGTAGATAACATATCCAACACACCTTCCTCCTCCTATTTTTCCCACAGCAACAACCTAGTGAAGTGAGTTGGGCTGAGGGAGCATGACTGGCCCTAAGACACCCAACTGGCTTTCATGGCTAAGATGGGACTTGAACTCACAGTCTCTCGCTTTCTAGCCTGGTGCCTTAACCACTAGGCCACAACCATCTCTCGTGCCGTTTATGGGCCTGCATAGATTTGCACAGTTGCATGAACCTGTCAAACAACCCTTGTATAAAAGCGTGCTTTTACCAACTTCACTGGACTCTGCAGAGTGGACTGAACATTTCTGAGAAGATAAAGTTTTTTTCCCTCTGCAGGTTTGGCGAAAGTGCAAAATGCGAATTTTCACCGTGGCCCAAATGGACGACAACAGCATCCAAATGAAGAAGGACCTGGTGGTCTTCCTTTACCACCTCCGAATCGAGGCTGAAGTAGAAGTGGTGGAAATGGTAATGGATTTCTCCTGTTCTTCAGGGGCTGGTCTAGGGATGGTGAGCCTGATTCCAACATGTTTTTTTTCCTTCCTTTAGCAAAACAGTGACATCTCGGCCTACACTTATGAGAGGACCTTGATGATGGAACAGAGATCTCAAATGCTGAGGCAGATGCGGCTGACCAAAACAGAAAGAGAGAGGGAGGTATGTCTTCTTCTTCTTCTTCTTCTTCTTCTTCTTCTTCTTCTTCTTCTTC